GCAATGCCATCTCGCTCAAAGGTGCTCTGTTCCCACAGAATGCAAGCACTACAGTACATCTTATCCACACATTAGAGCTGAAATCAAACTGGGCTCCCAATTCCCTTACGCTTTTCAAGCAGACACAAAGAGTCCAGCCACCCCATTGTGAGACCACTGCCTGGTCTGGAGAACCATATCACAGCGATGGGCAGGACGGCTCCCTCTCTTAGAGAGGCTCCAGGGTTCCCCACTCAAGGGCGGGCACATTTTCCCATAGCCCTAGATACAGGTCACATTGCATCCTTCAAAAGGCTCTGTACCGGGCGTGCTACCTCACACCTGTAAACCCAGCACTCTTGAGAGGGAGTGGTTATAAGTTTGAGCCATGCCTGGGCAACTTAGGGAGACTCTGTCTCAAAATTTCAAAAAAATTTTTAAAAAGGGTTGAGGATAGGGCTGGGGATTTAGCTCAGTGGTTCTGCTGCCTGCTTCGAAAGCAGAAGGTCCGGAGTTTGATCCCCAGTACCAAAAAAAACACAAAACCCCAAAAAAGGGTTGAGGATGTAGCTCAGTGGAAAGGTCCTGGGAACAATTCCTAGTATCGCAAAACAAAAACATATAACAACAAAAATCTGGTTCCTCTGCTGATGCAATACTGTCATAGGCCTGACTGCATTGGGCACCTGTGCTTGGCTAAATCCATGAACGTGGAGCCCACACACACAATTATATGTCCAGCCAGGATTATATAAAATCTTTCATCCTCGTCCCCAACTTTCTGTTGACAGAAGGAGATTCGCAGCTGGCCACTGGGGGATAAAACAAAGTTGGGTAGGGCACTAACTGCAGACATCCCTGGTCCTCTGGGCTGTGTCTTCATCCGAGAGAAGAGGCCCATGATCGACAGAGTCTCTCTTGAAAGTCACAATCCAATGTCCTATTCCTCCGCACTTTGCACATCTGGAAAGTAGGCAAGGTTGGGGGCAGCATGGAGGGTGGGGTTGGCTGGTAATGAATCTTAGAGTGGGGTTCTTTCCTCAAGCATTCCTGTCATCGTGCATCACTGGGGACGCTGACAGCCATGTGGATCCTGAAGAGATAATTAAATAGGAGACTGAAATCCGGACACTGCTTGGCCCTTTTGTCTTTGGGGATACACTCCAGGGCCCCTGGTGGATGCTGAAAGCCACTAATAACTTGGAACACTATAGATACATAAAGAACTTTCAACTTCTCACTTAAAGTATGGCTTTTGTCTGGCTACCGAGTTGCTACCAACACTATCCTTGTGCTTTGGGGACCTCAACAGTCAATCTGTAAACTGAGATGGCTACTAAGTAATTATCAGGCAGGTACGGTATCCAGCATGGATACACTGATCAAAAGAACCCTTCATATCTCAGATAGGATAGAGCAGAATGCGCAAGATTCCACCCTTATTCCTCAAAATGACATACAATTTAAAACTTAGGAATTTCTACTTCTGGAATTCTCCACTTAATATTTTAAGTCCATGTAGACTATGAGTAACCAAAACTGCAGAGAGGAAGCTAAGGGTAAGTGGGGACCCTGTACAGAATTGAATGTAAGCTAGTTCAGGTGTAGAAATGCCACTTCCCTTTCATCCACAGTGCTCAGAAATATAATCCCTCACTCACACACCCTGGATTACTTGTCCCAAAACCACTTCCCACTTCTGCACTAGACATAGCGTCCTGGCCCAACTTTCTATACCCTGCATATCCCAAATGCACGCGCCCAGAGAGAAAGCAGGAAGCCCAAAACCAACATCTGTAAAGCAACAAGCAGAGCTGAGAATTAGCTCTGTCAATGCAGAGATGCAGGTAGGGGAGGAAAGAGATCCTGGTAACAGGTTTGTTCATCAAATGCCCAAGCTCTCCTCCCTCTCTGAACTAGGGAGTTTCTTTGGAGCTGGAGGTGTTGTTTAGCAAGCCTGAGGCCTTGGGTTCAATCTTCAGCACTGAGAGATACAGACAGAAATAGATGGGGATGGGGGCCAGAAATTGCTTTGCCGTGGCCACATCAAGAAGCATGTTATGGTTTGGATCTGTATGTGCCCCAAAGCCTCATTCGGTCAGAGGTGGCTGAATCTGGAATGTGTGATGCTGGGATTAAGGGTATGTGATTTCTAAACCACTACATGTGAGTGACTGGTTTGGCACCTCCCTAATCCCGGTAGTCTTGATGAGATAAAAGAGGCAGAAAGACAGGTGAAGAGCCCTTATTGCTTTTTGCTGTCTTCCTGTTGTTTTTTTCATTTTTTGGTACTGGGGATTGAACTCGTGACCTTGCGCTTTCGAGGCAGGCGGTGGAACCACTGAGCTAAATCCCCAGTCCCTTCCTATTGCTTTTCGCTGCCTTCCACTGCCATGAACTGTTTCCCTTGTTGCCTTTGCTGCCCTGTGTGCGCCATGTTGTTTCTCCTCTGTGATGCCTGTTTGTCATCCCTACCTTGGAGCCAGCAAGGTTAAAGGACTGAAACCTCTATGAACTGTAAGCCTAATAAACCCCTTCCCCTCTAACTTCAGGTATGGAGTATTTTGTCTCAGCAACAAGAGAAAAGTAACTCAAAGCATAAAACTTTCCAGCTCCACTGCAGTCATGTTCAGGAATAAATGTGCTTATGCTGTCAGAATTAAGAGTGATGGCAACTCTGGATATGCATTTAATTTGTGTTGGTGCCTCTCCTTAGGGGTTGGGGAGGTATTTACAGAGAAAGTTTATTCCCACAGGAAGTTTGTTGCTAATTAAACCCTGATGTAGTAGGATGAAAACAGAGCCTGGAGACCCCAAACTGGAGTCTAAACTAGGTTTTTTTTTAAGCAAGTCTCCAGTTTCTCAAGTCTTAAAAACCTTCAGACTAACAGAAGCACCACACAAAGGAAAAGTTACAAATAACTTTACCAGCCAGAAGGGGACTGAAGCCTAGAGACTATCAGCTTTGCTTTGCTACATTCATGCCCAGTTTTTCAGACAGGGCCTCACTTTTGTGTGAAACAAAAGCATAGGGCGAGGAGAGTTTGGGACACCAGAGAGACCCTGGGGAAGTGACCATACCCACTCCTGGTTTCCCATATTGCCAGTTCATTTTAGGCCGAAACACAAAGGCCTCCCCCACCCTGTGGGTCTGGGCCTGATCCACAGGAAACTTTCTTGGTTAGGCTCCCTCTGAGCCCAGGGTTTAACTTTCCATCTTTCCATCCCACGCCCACGCTCTGCACTCTGAGGAGAGCCAGGCAGGAGGGCTTCTTACAAACGCACCCACCCACAGTCTCTGCAGGCTCCAGGCTCACGTGGCCGGTCAACCATGCCAGTCGTTGACGGCAGGGAACTGTGCTCCAGGCGGCAACCAGGCGATATGCACCCTCATCCAAGGTGCTGGCAGTCAGAATCAGGAGTCAATTAAACATAGCCAGGCCCCAATGCCTGCTTCTGTGTCCTGAGCTTTTGCAGCCAGAGCCCACTGGCCCTGCATGGGTTTCTTCTCCCTCCAGGCCTGCAGAGTGGGTTCCTTCCTTGTCAGCACTGCCCAACTCTGCCAACGTCTCTGCCACCCCTTCCTCCCTCTCTGCTTGCCTCGCTGAGCCCAGCCACACTGGTCCTTCTGACTGCTGCACAGCTGGCCGGCCCGAAGATTCAATCTTGAGACTTTAGGCCTAACAAGGCTCTTTGCCTTTTTTATTCAGATCTCTTCCCAAATGTCCTCAGGGCAATGCATCACACTCACAGTTCTGTGCTTTATCGGTATTTTCACAGCCCTTATTATGAACTATTATACACACTTTTAATTTACCATCTGACTCCTCCCACTTGGAATGCACCCTCCAACAGGTTACAGATCCTTGGGGGAGGGGGCCCAGCCTCCCATGCTGTTCATGCCCTGTTTGCAGAGCTGAGAGAGCAGACGAGTCTCATGTGGAGAAAGAAGTGAGCACCTGGCCACGACTCCAGAATCCAGTCTTTAAAGAGTGCAGTTTTAGAGAAAGAGAAAAGCTCCAATGTCAACTAATTCAAGATGGCTTTTAAATCTGGGGTCCGTCAGTCCCCAAAGAGATGTCAACTTCCTAAAACTGTGTATGACATGCTGTCTACACAAATGCATGATTTTCTGTGGAAAGAATCCATAGCTTTCATGGGGCTCTCAAAGCAGCTTTATCCCTCAACAAAAAAATTAAAATCTTAGCAAAATTCTTCATGTAGATGAAAAAAACTATGCTTTCCTAGAAGAAGCACCTTGCGTGTGTGGTCACGCAGCAAGCAGTGAGTTCTGAGCAGCATCCGAGGTTCCTGAGCCCTCGGGGGTCCCTTCCCTTGCAGTATCCCTCACCATGTCCCCTGGCTGAAAGGAGGGTCTTTCCCTTGCACTGCCAGTTTGTTGCCATGTTGGACCAAAGGCCTTGCACAGCAGCTACTCACTGCGCTGTGACGAAGCCTCAGGTCAAAATGGCCAAGCATTACATTCCCACTCCCAACAATTTGATTTGTCACAATTTTTGTGTGGGGAGGACATCAGACTGGATGAAGGCGCACATCTGCCCAAAGCCTCTGGCGATGGCATTTCGTGCCCCGAAGTGTATGTAGGGCATCCTCACAGACCCTCACTTGCCAGATGCCCTCAGCAAAGAAAGAACTCATTTTCCTTCCCTGCTGCTCATGGCTCCCACTTTCCTGCAGTTTCTCACAGTGGCAATCACCACAGAGACTGCCCCACCACCGCCTACTGGCTATTCTTCCAGCAGCATGGGTTCCAAACCAGCTATGCTGGGATGAAAAAGAACAGAAAGAATAACAGTGCAGCCATTTGGGAGAAACATGCGGAGGGAAGGCAAAGAAATAAATGACTGGGGCATATCTGAACTTCAGAAGTACATGACTTGGCCCCTGCTCTTAATGAATTTGCTACACCGAGGCCCCTTATCCACTGTCACTTTGCTACGTTTCACTCACCTGCTGTGAACCATGGTCTGAAAACATCCAGTGCCAGAGGTAAATAATTCTTAAGTTTTCAATGATCTTTATTACAGCCTATTGTTACCATTGTTCTATTTTAGGATGAGTTGCTAGTTAATTTCTTACTGCGCCTGACTTAGAAATGAAACGGTATCATTGGTGTGTTTGTGCGGGACAGAACACAGCACATGGATAGGCCTTTACTCTGAGGGGTCAGGCCCCCGGGGGGTCTTGGAACACAACCCCCAGGCTACGTCAGGGTGGGGAGCATTGAAACCGTGCAAAGCTGAGCAAGGTAGTCAGGGGAGTCCCAGAAACCTGTGTCTTTAGGCGGCAGGGAACAGCCAGCCACTGGAATCATCTGAGGAAGGAGAGGGATTTTCAGTCTTAGAACTGCAAAGCTGCAAAGAACAGGGGCAGCTGTCGGGATGGAGCCCTCCTTTCAGGCTGTGGGTTCTGTTCACATCTGCTCCCACCTATCTGTCAGCATCCTAAGTCTCCTTACAGTTAGTTGTTCTTTCATAACGCTGGTTTCCACATCACTTTCGTGTGCTCCAGACTCCACGCTCTCACGGGGCATCCTTTTCCCCTCTGCCTCTGCAGTGAAAGCTCCCTGGCTATGCCTCCATTCCTCTCCCAGGTGAAAGAATCTGATCGATTGCTCATTTCTTTGTGCCAAACTAGCCCTCCTTGTCCAGACTTCAGAGCAGCCTCCCTGGAATGGAGTGCCCCTGTGGGACAGCCAGCAATGGTCACGGGCATCTCTTAGGGTGTAAGACAAGGCCCCCTGGCCCTCTACAGAGGCCATGGACAGATAGGTATGGTAGCTGTCCCAGGAACGAAGCCAGGCTTTTCAATCCTGCACTGGAGAAGGCTTCTACTGCTCCCTAAGAGCCAACCGCTCAGGGGTGCTGCCGCCTGTCTCGCAAGAGCAAGGTCCCGAGTTCAATCCCCGGTATCCAAAAAAAAGAGCCAACTGTTAAATGCTCTGGAATTCTGTGAGCTATTTGTTAATCCGCTGCTAGTATGAAACTGACCACAATGGGAATATTTGCACCACAGATGTTGGCAAATGCTACAAATTTGGCAAAAAAAAAATTTCTTACCACCATGGAAGGCAAGATCACTATCACATCACTACAGCTCTGATGGTTACAGAGGAAGAAACGGGAAAAAAAAACAAGGTCAACAAGTCACCCCACAATCTGACACAATCTATACCATTTCCTTCTCTCCCCCTTCGCCCACTCTGTTGCAGCCAAAATGCACAAATGTCTTGCTGTACGCCTGGCACACACAGCTGTGATGGGGCCAGTGCTCTTCATGCTGGCTTGTACCCTTGGCCTTCCCAAACTCAAATGCTCATCTCTGCCAAGTTCCAGCTCTTCCCTGAAGCCTCCTCAGTTCCTTCAGTTCGAGTAAACTCTGCTGCCCTAAACCCTGGTGGCTGCAGCTGTGCTTCTCGGCTGCCCTTTTCCTCCTCAGCCTTCCTTCCCTCATTAGCGGTGGTTTCAGACGCTGGGGTGTTTAATTCACTATAAGAAGTGTTCATGGGAAGAGGATCCATATCTCTTTCTCTGAATCTTCCAAATGCTGAGTGGTTATCTGGTTTTCCGTCAGATACATGATGAATGAACACAGCAATTTTTTGTCTACAAGTGCCCAGTAACACATCCTTCGTCCCCTTCTGCACCTGCAATTCCAGACCTGCTAACTCGTGAGTTCCCCAACTGATGTAAGCCTTGTATCAGCAACAACAGGATTCCAAGCTGCAAAACACATGGTATCTGGTGTGTGTGTGTGTGTGTGTGTGTGTATTACAGTCACCAGATCCAGATGTCTGTAAGAGAAAAATCAGGGATTACATTACCAAGATTAAATTTTGATTGGGCAACAGCAGGTTCGTATTTCAAACAATACCAACCTTCCCCTGGTCCCATGTCTCAGCACAATACCTGCCCTAACAAAATACTATGGACCTGAAGCTTTAACAACAGAAATGGATCTTCCCACAGTTCCGGAGGCTGGAAGTTCAAGATCAAGTTGCCAGCGTAGCCTGTTTCTGATGAATGCTCATCAGGGCTTGAGGGCAGCCACCTTCTCAGGTGCCAGAGAGAATAAGCTCTCTGCTGTTGCCTCCTACACTAACCTCCTTCTGGGAGTTTCACCTCATAACCTTATCTACAGCTAATTCCCTCCCAAAGTCCAGTCTTCCAGATACCAGGGGCTCTGGTTTCAGCTAAGGATTTGGGAGAGATGGGAAGGATCTGGTTAAAACCAAACTCCCTTTGAATACTTTGGGAGAGAAGACTCATTGGTTTGGGATCTCAGAACTGGAAACTAAATGAACACGACCACAAGTTCAGTCTTAAGTGGAGAAATTACTCATCGTAGGGAGTCCCTTAACCAGTCTGAAGAGTCCACGGATGTCACCAAGAAGTTAGATGATGACTATCAGTGTACAGTTGGCATGTCAAGAAACCCACCTATAGGGCCGGGGATTTAGCTCAGTGGTTTCGCCACCTGCTGCGCAAGCGCAAGGACTGAGTTCGATCCCCGGTACCAAAAAAAGAAAAGAAAATACCATCTTTGTTTTACAGATGAAAAAACAAATCTAAAGAGACTTGGACCGTTGCATTGTGTCTGTAACAGAGACTAAAATTCAAGCTTGACTTCCTAATCCTGGGCTCAAGAGCTCTCTGGTACTGTCACTCTGTCCTTTAAGCCCCCAACCCTAAATATTCCAAAGTATAAAAAAGTGACCTTTATGAAACAGACAATTCCTAAAGCTTACTTAATCCAAACACATGCTATTAAAAACTAGCAAAGATACCTAGCAGGAGAATAGCTGGGTATTCACTATGTATAGCAACATGTACTAAAAGAGAAGAAATAAACTAGCAAAGAATTCTCAGAACTGAGAGCAAACATGGATATATAAAGTATTTCAGCAAGAAAAAAATATCCTCTAATCTCCTAAAAGAATAAAATCCTGTCACTCAAGGCTGCTTGATAAATTCAAGAAGATAAAGACATGCGTGAACAGAAGAACAATGTTACTTTTTAGATGGTTCTATTTCTTCCATCTTTCATTTTTTGACAGGGGCAGTTTTTGAAGAGAGGTTTTGTAACTATTAGTTAATGCCTCTCCAACACAGAATTGTGCCCTATAGACCCTAAAACAAAACAAAACAAAACAAAAAAACGAAAAGTAAATTGAAGCAAAAGTCTGTATATCCTCTCTGATCTTTACAATTTTAGTCTTTTGGGCAGCAAATGAGAAGCTCTCACTCTTTCCCTGGTCAAAAATACCTGTCCTGGTGTCACTGTTAGAGTAGAACCAAAATGCCACCAATGGTGAAGGCGGAGTTAGGGTTTTCCTTGTGCAGTGAGCTCTTTGGTTTTGAAGTAAGTCATGTTAAAAATCTGAACTAAGCAAGCAGACCCATATCTAATTCAGGAAAGAAAATGTAAGAGACAGATTCAAAATTGCCAAGTCTCTTGGCTTATATCAGAGCTCAAACATGAAAAGAATTCTCCGACAGTCTCCAGCCATTTCTGAATTTGTGAGCTGACAAGTAGACCTCCCTGGAGCCATCAAAGCAATTTGAAAACAGTCTTGAGCAGCAGTCCTCTCACTGCCAAAGGTGAACTGGATACCAGCCTCCCCAAGGCATGTCATGGTCCTCGGAAAAATTAATTCAGGGCCTTCTATACGTAGTCAACTCTCTGACTCCAGTGAGCATCAGTCTTCTTCGAGGCAGGCTTGTAAGCACATAAGATGATCATTAAGGATTCTGTCCTTAATGGATTCCTATCTTCAGGATCTACCTAGGTGGCAGGACCAGAAATGGCTCACCTAGGACTACTGGTCACAAACATCTATGGGTTCATGAGAATGGGGATGCATTCTGTAGCATTCTACCAAGCCCAAGAAAAGGATGCCAGGTAGGTAGCCCTGCCTACTCTGTGCTTTCTAGGCACTCATATCATCCTCACAACCACCCAGCAAACCACTGGGACAGAGAAAGTCCTCCATGAATGAGAACCATTTCGGAGCAGTAAGGAAGGTTACAGTGAGTGGGAGATTCGCACTCAAGTTGGCATGACTCAGACCACACATACAAATCAGATCAGAGTCCATCCATCCGTTCTTTCATTGAGTCACTCAGCACATACCTCTTAGGACTCCAGCCTGTCCTGAGCCAGTGAGTAAGGGCTACTCCTAAAGCAGGAGAAAAAGTCACATCACTCAGAGACTCAGGGGGGTTCAAACATTTTCCAGGAGGAGGCCTGAAAGATCAGGCCATTTCCACCTATTGGGCTTTAAAACTGGAACTGTACGGAATTCAGTGTGAACCTCTGAGGACAGGTTCAGAGTCAGGCAGAATTAACTACTTCATAATCAACCTTCTCTGCAAACAAGGGCCCCTACCTGTCAGGCCAGTGTACCGTCAGGCAGCTGCCACCTGGCCAACGTCAGATAATGATCGAGCACTGCCCACTGTACCAGGAAGTGTGCTAGTCTTAGTCCTACCTTCTCACTTGGCCGAGAGCCTTGTATGATCTCACAAAGCCAAAGAGTAACAAAGCTGGTAGACTTGGACTTCAAAAATCCTGGCCACCAGCAGCAGAGGCATCCTGGGGCAAACCACCAAGACGGTGTGTTTCAGTTGATCTCTAAAGCAAAGAACACACAGAGGCTTCCAACATTAATAACCCAGTTACCAGGATTGTTAAATTCATTTTTAAAAAATTGGTGATCCATTGTATGGACTTGAAGAGGCACAAAAAGATTCCATAAGAACCCTCCTTTCTGCTTCTTTTTTATTTTTAAGTTTTTAGGGATTGGGAAAGCAAACCCTGTCCTTGTAAATGCTAGAGAAAAGCTCAGCTACTGCGCTGCATGCCCACCTCTCCTTCCTACTTCTGACTCCCAATCACTCCAGTCCCTCTGAAGAAACAAGCGGTGAACAATTCATTTTGTGTGCTTTTATCAACAGCCCAGCATTTACAAGCACACAAACAGATCTACACTTTTGTCTGTTATATTCAGTGCCTAAAAACTGCCTGACACTCAGTGGTTATTGCCAAAAAGTATTGTGTAATGAATGAAAATTCATACCATGTACACTTTCTGCATCTGGTTCTTTTACTCAAATATATCCTGGAAAGATACCAGTAACAATGTATTATACAAAACTGCCTCATTCCTTTTCTTCCTAAACATGTTAACTTTAATACAAACACAGAAATAAATGTACACATACCATATGCGTACATCTCACTAAATTTTACACCCACCTAAACCAGAACTCAGATCGAGATATGGAGTGGAACAGTCCAGTAACCTCAATGTCTCCCCCTACTTTGTGCCACATCCACCGCCCCTACCGTCCAGGTATCAAAGGTAACCAATACCCTGACCTCTGAAAGCATGAGTTAGCTTTCCTTGCACAGGGATATGTAGCAATGAATAATGCGGCATGCTCTTTGGTGTCTACCTTCCTTTGCTCAGCCTTATATTTGTCAGATTTATCCATATTTCTGTGAGAACACGTAACTCATTCACTCTCACTGCCCAATGTTGCCATGCTGTGTGAGAATTCCACAATTTATATAGTCATTCAACTTTCGGTGGGCAAGACTACAGCTTCCGATTTGGAGCTATGTGAATAATATGTCATGACCATTCCTGCACACAAGTATTGCCATTGGCTGAAGGTAGAACTGTTGGATGGATGTATATCGAGGAAGCACTAGACAGTTTTCCAAAGTGGATATACCAGTGTACACGCCATCCCCGCACGAGGCCGCCCCGTGTCACGCAGTCTCACCCACACTCGCTCTGGTTGTGCTTTGGGTTCTGTCGTCCTGGTAGCCAGCTAGTGAGGCTCTTCCCATGGGCACTATGTTTGATCTTCCTGCTGAGAGATGGAGCTCAGCACCCACCTGCATGTTTCCTGGACACTTGGATATCGATTTCCGCAAAGCACTTATTCATTTCTATAGCCCATTTTTCTACCAGATATCAGTCTTTTTCTCACTGATTTACAGTTCTTTATACATTTGCAATATAAGGCATTAGTCAGACACATGCATTGCCAGTTTCCTTTCATTCTGTGGGTTGTATTTTTAATCTCATACAGGTGTCTCTTGGTGGTAAATGGAAGTTCTTAATTTTAGTATGACCCTGAATAATTTTCTTCTTATATTAGTGTCCTTTTAAGACAACAAATAAAGTTCATGTGCATTTAAGAAATCTCTTCTTATTCCAAGGTCATAACAATAGGCTCTTCTGCTTCTAAGAACTTCCACTGTTTTACTTTATGTAAATCTAGAGTATACTTTTACATGGAAATAAGTAGGGGTCTAGATAAATTTTTAATGTAGATAAACACTGACTTAATACCTTTTTTGAAAACCTCATTTTTTAGCCACCACCTACTAGTATCCTCTTCATCAGGGGTACATCCCTGAGCCTAATTCCTTTTCAATGACTGTATAGCATTCCATTGTGTGCATGTCCTATTAATTATTAAGCCTGTCCCCGACTGAGTAATACTCAAGTTGTTTTGCTATAAATAATGCTGCAATAAATAATATATGCACTTTGTCCATCCATTATTCCTCACATGTGGCTATACTGGTAGGATAAACTGGATAAGTGGAACTGCTGAGCCAAAGGCTACGTGCATTTCAATTTTGACCACTACTGGACAGAGGTTATACTAACTATGATGGGGTTTATTGGGCCATCATGAACTCCACAGCGCCGTAGCACACTATGATTTCAATTGTATTCATTTTCTCTTTTTTCTAAAGACAGCAAATGTACTTCCTGAAACCATGGATTGAGAAAACACACATATGCATAAAGTTCACTGAAGCTGCCTCAGACTCCTGAAGGTGGACAGTAAAAGCTAACCCCAAGCATGCTGCGGGATCTGGCGCGCAGGCCTCCTCTGCCTCCCACAGTGAAGAGCAGGGGCGCCTTGCTGTTGACTCCTGTTCTGAAGGAAGCCCTGAGCCCCAGAGCAGCACTGGACTCCAGGGAGGCCGATGCTGCCCCCATTTCAGGAGGCAACACTCCAGGAGATCAACCTCAGTGCCTCACCTGACCCAGGTCTGCTCCCGCCAGAGAGAATGGAACCGGAGACACTGTACTGCCAGAGGAGGAGGTTCCTGACTCAACCTGAAATCCACCAAATACGGCAGCAGCAAATGTTCAAAAGTCAGGCCTGACAGGGTCTACATGGTCCCTCACTTCAGGTGACTATGATAATCCTTTATCATCCAGGACACCCCTCCTTTGCCCCTTCCCCCCCTTTATGTCACCAAACACAGAGACACTTGTTCTCAAACGCGCCTGTGATGTGGTGAGAACACTGCATGACTTATTCATTTCGTAACTGATGTCACATTAACTACCACAGCCCTGGGAACCAAAGGCCCTGGGGGCCCAGCAGCAGCCCTGTGAATATCAGAGGCCAAACTGTGGAACCCACAGGGTGGGGGCCTCCACTTTGCAGGCTCTCGAAACACTCCCTTCCCAGAACTCTTAAAAGAGGCTGTTTGAATAGCTGGATCTTATTTATTTTTACCATAGTACTAGGGATGAATCCTACGGCCTCATGCATGCTAGGCAACCACTGAGCATGCTCTACCACTGAGCTACACCCTCACTCGGCCCCTGGATGTTATAAAGGGAAAAGCAGCAGCTACGAAACAAGTTGAAACAAAAATCTCCTACCAGCAGTGTGATTCTGGATAAGTCACTTATGCCTCTGGGGCCTTGTTTTTCTCTACTGTGTTCAATAAGAGGCGGTGCTTCCAGGCTCCAGTGCTTGAGGTTTTGTGATTTTATATACTAAAGGGCAAAACAGTGAGATTTCAAGTCTCATGACTTAAGTCTTACAAATGGTCTCTGGCATGAGACCCATATGGTCCCAGGCTCACAGAGAGCACACCTAGCCACAGGTACGCAGGTAATAAACTGTGCACAGGATGTACCTTACTCACTGGGGCTGAGTCAGCAAGGGTGAGATTGGAGGGGAATTCATCTCTGCGGCACTTTCCTACCCTCACCTCGTTTCCAGGACAAAGGCTTTGGCTGCCAGGACCCTTAGAGGGATGGCTTGGGGGCTCGACTGTCACCTGACTGAGCAGTGACAGCCTCACCTCACCAGGTGTGGAAAGGTGAGAGACCACACATTTGGGAAAAGGTAGACAATGGCTCTGAAGATGTCGGAACAACAGGGCCTATGTCATGGCATGGGAGCCTGGAGGGTGACAAAGCCCACTTTGTCTCTGGCTCAAGGAACGGCTGCCAGAAATGCAGACCATCGTTTGAGCGAACCCTGACTGCCAGCCCAGGGTCCGAGAGGACAAGGCATGAACATCCACTTGGAGAAACACAATTCCCAGGTTCATTGGCCACCTTCCCTTGTTCACCCACATCTCTGCCTCAAAGTAATTTCTCAAAAGCATTTCTTAAAGCTCAACAGTAAAACCCCATTAATCCTTAGGTATGATAGAGGCCAAGGGTAACTCCAAGGATTCCTAAGGAATTTATTACGTCCTTTAATGTCCACAGAGTGTAGGCTGCTCTTCAGTGATTCGACCTATGCGATGAAGGAGAAAACTATTTTTTCCTCCACTGGAATCCTAAGTAAAGAACAATCTGTGACCTTAGGCTCCAGAACCTCAGAGATAAGTTCCAAGTCCATTATAACATGTCAAAGTTCTGAATCGTTCCTTTTGAAAATATTAGAATTTTTTTTTTACATGCGTAGGGATATAATGATGTTAGTGTACAGAGTGTTTCTGGAAATAAGCCCTTCTGTATAGGAAAATGAAATTGCAATGAGACTTAATTTCTGACTGTCAAATCCCTCTAGTTTGTCTCACAATTTAGACGAGGGGAAATAACGAATTAATTAAATATCAGCTAATGTAGCCAGGCAAGGTGGTGAACATCTGTAATCCCAGCACTCTGGGAGGCTGAAGCAAAAAGATCGCATGCTTGAGCCCAGCCTAGGCCACTTAGTGACTTGGTAAGACCCTGCCTCAAAATAAAAAAGGTGTGGGAACGTAGCTCAGGGCAAAAGGCCTGAGTTCAATCCCTAGTGCTGCAAACAACAACCAAAAGAAAACTTCAGCAGCTACTTTTGATGATGGTGGCAGCTACTTTTGCTTTGAAGCCCTGTGCCAATATGCCATATTAAGTGTGCTTCTCCACATTTTCTTTTTCTGTAATTGCCCAGGGTGGTGTGTATGTTCTCCTGGGAAAGCCTCGCATGTTTCCTTTCTTCCACAAACCATAACTCCATTCCTCTCCCACTCACACCCAACAGCATCAATCCAGCGTCTCAGAGCTTCCCGAGCCTGTTCACCACTGGGCTCCAGCTTTACTCTCCTTTTAACCAGTCCTACAATGCCCTTCTTCCATGAAGCCTCTACAAATAATGAAAAAAGGAAAACAAAAGCAAATTTGGTCCTATTATTTTATCTGATCCAATAAATCCAACATACCCTCCTGTGTTCAGTCCTTTGCTTGTACCGTTTATTAGCTCCACTTTCTGTTATCGAAGGGTCCCTTTCCCTACTGCCCTCTCTTTGATCTCATGGGAAGCAGGCATGGGGTGGCATTCTGCACAGTCTGGGCAAAGCCCCCATTATCGTGGGGAGGGGGCAGCAGGCAGATGGTGGCTCAGCATTCCATCACGCACTCTTCATGTCCTCTGAGTGCTGTGAACCAGCGGCTCTTCCTAGGGGCTGGGTACACGAATGAGAGAGGCAGAGTTCCCAAGCTCTGCTTTACCTTCCACAAAGGAACTCAGACAATCAGCACCAACACAGGAGGGAAGGGCAGGACATCCAGAGGTGCGGGCCAGGATGGCACCGTCTGTGAGCAAGGGACCGCGGAGGGGTGAGGTGAAGGAAGGCCTGGATTCTGAGAGGGAATGGGACATTTGCACATCCAGGAAGCACATTCCACAAGAGGGAGGAGCAAGTGCCAAGGCCCTGAGTCAAAGGGAGCCTGGGGAGTTAAAAAAAAGTAGAAATAAAGCCAGGGTGGCTGGAATGCAGGGAGGGAAGGGAGGCAGAGGTAGACAGCACATCCGGTCATGCAGGGCCTTGCAGGCCACAACCAAGAGTCTCAGTGTCATCCTAAGCACGACAGAAAGGGGGGCCTCAGCAGGGACATGACACGGTCAGATTTTTAGTCTTCAAAGGTCCTTCTGGCCATGTTTGCAGGATGATTCAGAGGGGAAGGGAGGGGAGAGTAGTTAGAAGCCATGGCAGCAACACTGGGAAGGAGACGAAGAGGCACAGGGGACGGGACCATCAGAGACAGCAGGACGAGGTGGCTGAGGCACGCAGGAGGGGGAGGTAGGGCAGACTGAATCTGGCGCAGACTGACCAGCCGGAACTGCGGGTGGGGGAACCGGGGAAGGTGCAGATCTGGAGTCAAAGAGGAGCAAAGACTCTGTTCCAAACATGTCCAGTGGGGACCACCCATTGGAGAGCCCGAGAGCTCCTGCTTGGTCAGGTGAGGTGCCGAAGGGGCCTGTGACTCTGGACGTCAGCAGCAAACGCATGGGTGCCACTTGGTAGAAGGCAGTGGAAGAAGACACAGCAGCCAGCCCAGGTAGCTGACATGACAAAGTCAGGTGAGGCAGAGAGGGGTGGAGGCATGAGAGGAAAACAATGGAGAAATGGGATGGGAAGGCCAGAGAAGAAAGCATTTCACCGGTAACCCTAGCACTCTGGGAGGCTGAGGCAGGAGGATCACACATTTGAGCCCAGCCTGGGCAACTGGGACATTTTCAAAATAAAGAACAAGAATTGCCGGGGATGTACCTCGGTGCAAAGGCTCTGGGTTCAATCCCCAGTACCACAAAAAAGGAAAGAAGGCACGCGGGCAGGCAGGCAGGCAGGCAGGCGATCCTTTCAAGTCAACTGCACCAAATCTGTCAAAAACAAACACGTGGGAAAAAAGTGATTCCCATTTTCAACTCTTTGTAACTACAGTTGATCCCCATTACTTACAGACTCCATATTTCTGAATTCGCCCACTCATTAAAATTTATTGGGAACCCCCAAATCAATACCAATACTCCCACAATCAGTGCTGTGTAAAGCAGAGAAAAACGGTGCACAAGTTCCCAGCTCAGGCTGAACAAGATGTCATTTTATCTTCTTGTTTCCATTCTCAGATGTAAACAAATACCAGCTTCAAGGTCTATTTGCTGCTGTTTACATAGAAAAATCAGATGACGGCAAGTGGGTATGGCACCAGCCACGAAGGTTCC